TCGTTAAGCGTCTGCCTTCGGCTCAGGTCATGATCCCAGGGTTCTGGGATCGATCCCCGCATCGGGCTCGCTACTCAGTGGGAGGCCTGCTTCTCTCTCTCCCACTCCCCCTGCTTGTTGTGTTCCCTCTCTCACTGTGTCTCTGTCAAATAAATAAATAAAATCTTAAAAAAAAAAAAAGAAAATATCCTAGGTGAAAAATGCACTTAATACACCTCACCTACTGAGCATCATAGCTCAGCCTGGCTGACCTTACATGTGTTCAGAGCACTTACATTAGCCTACAGTTAGGCAAAATCATCTAACACACAGCCTATTTTATAATGAAGCATTGATTATCTCATGTAATTTATTGAATACTGCGCTGAAAGTGAGAAACAGAATGTAGATGGTTGTGCGTGGGTACAGAATGGCTGGAGGTTGCGGGCTGTTGACCCCTCACGACCCAGGGGCTGACAGGGAGCCTCGGCTCGTTGCCTGGCCTCACGGAAGAAGATCCTACCACCTATCGCTGGCCTGGGAAAAGATCCAAATTCGCAACTTAGAGTATGATTTCTACTGAATGACTGTTGCTTTCACACCAATATAAAGTTGAAAAATCGTAAATTGAATTATCCTGAGTTGGGGACCATCTGTACTTGAAAAGTGGAATATTATTTGTTCTTTGAACAACTCGGAGGCAAGTACTCTGTCTCAGTTATAAGTTTGGCTGCTTTCACAAACTACGTTGGTGGGTGGCTTACAAGCTACAGAAGCTTACTTCTGACAGTTCCGGAGGCTGAAGTTCTGAGATCAGGATGGCAGTATGGCTGGGTTCTGGCGAGGGCCCTCTCCTGGGTTACGGAAATCTTGTTGAATCTTCACAAGGATGAAGGGGTGAGAGCACTCTCTGGGGTCCCTTTTATAAGGGTGCTAATCCCATTCATGAGGGCTCCATCCTCGTGATCTAATTATCTCCCCAAAGCCCTGCCTCCTAATACCATCACATCAGGGGTTAAGACTTCAACATATGAATTTTGGGGGGACACATAGATTCAGTCCTATGGCTACCCCAACCATCTGCATACTACAGATGTGGAAACAGAGGCTCACGCCATTACGTGCACATCCAAGGTCACACGGAAGGTGAGCAGCAGTGTCAGCATTCGAACTCAGGTCTGAGTCCAGTGCTCACACTCTTCACACTGGGTCTTTCCAAGTTCTGGAGCGTGAGGAAACAAAAAAGGCAAAAAGGTGGAGCACCTGGCTGGCTCAGTCAGTGGAGCACGTAACTCTTGATCTCAGGGTTGTGAGTTCGAGCCCCACATTGGGTGTAGAAGTTACTTACAAATAGAAGAAGAAGAAGAGGAAGAAGAAAGGAGGAGGAGGAGGAGAAGGAAGAAGGAGAAGGAAGAAGGAAGAAGGAGAAGAAGAAGAAGAAGAAGGGCAAAAGATGAAGTGTGAACCAAGTGGTGAGTGAGGATCCCGGGAAGGTGGAACTGCCCGCAAGCTACCCGAGTTCTCCAATGGAGCATTGCATCTCTCAGGGGATGTGGGCGAAGAGGAATCTCCCGGCAGGACCCCAGCAGGTGGAGTCTGGGATACGGGCACAGCAGTGTTTTGGGAGCACACTGTTACCCTACTGTGTGGGTTACATCCCCGAACATAGCGTCTTGCTCCTCGCCTGCCCACCCCCCGCCACCCACACACACCAGCTTGCCTCGAATATGGATGCAACACAGAGGCTGCTTCTGGTTTCAGAGAAACAGAAATGTTCTTTTCCTTTATTCCAGTCATGCCTGGAATGCCCCTCGCTCCACCACCTCCTTCCTTCCCTCCTCCCCACGGCCCCAAATAAAATAAAATACAGTAATAGCAGCATGCTAGAGTACCCAATATGCTCTGCGTGCAAGCTTGGTTAAACAAATCGCATTGACCTTTAATAAAGATGTGCAGGATGCTTCCTTCTCTCATTCAGTATGTTAATCTGCAGGCCAAAGCTCCGTGAGAGCAGGCACCATTAAGTGCAGATCTGATCTTGCTACTCCCCTGCTCTAAACCCTTCACTGGCTTCGCATTGCCTACAGGAGGAAGCCCCAACTCCCAACAGCGCAGAGAAGGACCTCCCGGGTGTGGCCTGTGCCCACCGCTGGCTTCATTTTGCACAAAATCCCTCTCCCCCCACCCCTGCAGCTCCCCAGCACCACTCCGGCCCTCAGCCTCTATGCATCTCTCTCTCCATCCTCAGTTCTTACCCTGGCAGAAATGTCTACGGTGCCCTTGACAGCCACCTGCTGCCAGCTACGCACTGATTACCTCCTGTCGTTCAAAATGCAGTTCAGGTCAGCTCCTCGATTAATACTCTCCTGAGTCCCACCCCCAGGCAGAAATGACAACCTCTCAATGTACCCAGTGCAGATCTATGTCACTGTCTCTGTGGCTCCTTGCTGCATTCATTTAATTACATCCTGCTCACCCATACCTAGCGTAGTGCTTGACACATATTAGGGGCTTAAGAAACAGAGCCACATGATGGCTATTCAACCGAAGCTTCTTGTGTTGACGCCTGACGTGACTCCCAAGGAGCATCATGTTGGTGTGTGCTCTGGACACTGTGGCTTTGTCGGAGAAGCATCTGACCCCACAGGCCAGAGTGCGGACCCCCAGGGCAGCCGTATGCCGATCACGGCATCTCTCCCGGGCTCGTCTGGATTCCCTGGTGTTTGGTTGGGAGGGTGGACACATGTAATGCAAATTGAAAGGCCTTCCTCCTAGGGTTGGCCTCCAAATCCAGCTTGACCACTCTGTCTGCCTCCATGGTCATTCTGGAGACATTCAGGTCCCCCCTCGGGGTGGTCAGAGGCCGGGAGGAGGAGTTGGGGATGGAGCAGGCAGACAGCGGTTTTATTTACATCATTCCAAACCACTGGATCAGTTGATTTGTTCTTTAATTCCGTTGACGAGTGAAGGGGCACTGAAATTCAAGTTCCCTTGGCAGAGATGGCTCTTTTTTATCAGAGAAACTTGAGTGAGCAATTTCTGGAGGAAGAGATGGGAAAGGATGGGGGCCTGTGCCCAGGAACATGGATTAGCCTCCTGATGCTCAGGATTGGAAGGTAAGAACAGGCCTGGCCAAGGTACACTCATTACCACCTAATAGGAGAGCTTGCATTTATTAATTTGGCCATTTTTGTCTGTCTCTTCAATAGAATGAGGGTGGGCACTGCATCTATCTTGTTCACTGCTCTCTCCTCAGACCCTACCTAACCCTAGGCCCAGCACAAAGTGGTGCATACTGAACATCTGTTGAGTGAATGAATGACTCTGGGCTGGAAGTCAGGAGAACTGGTCCCACTCTGTAGTCACCAGCCAGCTCTGTGACCTTTGGCAGGTTACTCTGCCTCTCTAATCTTGTCAATGGGGATGTTATTATCTGCCTGACCAATCTTAAGGGTCATTGTGAGGTTCCAGCTGTATGTGAAAGTCCTTTTGTACCATTATACAGGCACAGTTCTAAACCTGAGAGGTTATGTCAACCGCTGAAGAGTTAGTCCTTTCCCACTGGGAGTTGGAAACATGGATGAGAGAATCTAGGAGGACTGGAGGAGCCAGGCTCTTCCCTCCACCTGGAGGCACTGGGTTCCCTGGGCCTCCTGGACTGACCACAGTGGTGGACACTCATGACAAGACTCCCAGACACTTAGATCTGGAGTCACCAGGATTCAGAGGGCAATGGAAGCCATGGATGTAGGTGGGCTTCTCACTGTAGAGTGAGGAAGAAAAAAAAAAAAGCCTTGGACTTGTCCCCAGTAAATGTCAACACTGAGAGAAGCAGGTGGAGAATCAACAGAACCTGAGAAAGAATGGCCAGAAAGATAGGAATACCAAACACTGTGTTTTGGAAGCCAGGAGAAGAGAGGAAGAGTGTGCAGAAAGAAGGGGAAGGATCCTAGGGAGAGGAGGAGGGTGAGAGAGGTTCATTGGAATTTGTGGGTATTTGAAAACTTCAGTACATTACAGTGTTTACAGAAATACAACCAGTGCATTGAATTTAAAAATCAGAATGAAATAGACCAAAATGCTCATGGCCACTGTTTCAGATGACTGAGGTATTGATTATCCTCTTGTTGTCTCTCTTTTTTCCATATAGTCTGATATGTACTTATGTCACTCTCATAATTGAAAAAGCACATTTAATAGTAAAATACATATGAATGTGACTATCTCAAGTAGGTGTAAAAAGAGAAAAGGCTATGTGCATGGACGCAATAGGGAAGAGACCCACAAAAATGAAATCAGTTGTTGGACTTAACTGTTGAATCTCATGGTAGATTTGGCCCATTTGCTTTTCTTTTTAAAAGTGTTTTCTAAATGTTCTTTTAATTAAACAATGTTAATAAATAAGAATGGCGACCAGGCAATGTTTCAATCAGCCCTGAAGCCTTTAATTGCGTATTTCATTATGACTATAATGCTATGGGTCTAGGTCTCAGGGACCGTAAGCAAGGACTTGGTTCATTCTTGTGCCCTCGTGGTAGACCACACTTCTGTTTGCCAATATTCAGTGCCCCGTCCTGCCAGAGAAATGTGCTTCCTTGAATCCCTGATGTCAGCCTTGGCCATGTTACCTTTTTGGCTACTAAAATGTAAGAAGTGACATGTGCCCCTTCTGGGATGGGAGAGTTAAGAGCCAACATATGCTTCATCTTGGTTGCTTTCTCTCATTGCTACTCATAAGGGTCTAGATAGCAGCTGCCGTCAGGGCCTGAGTCCCAGAGTGTGGACGATGAGGACATGGAGGAAGCTCCCAGCCAACCTAGGGTTAACGTGTATGTGGGCAAGAAATAAGCCTTTGTTGTTGAAAATAACTGAGATTGGGGCGGGGGGGGGGGGGTGCTCATTTTTGTAGCCTATCCTGCAGATATGGTCTTCTTAAGTCTGAAAAGAAAAAGAAATTATCAGCAACCCCAGCACGTTCTCAAGAAACCTAACTCTTAAGTCTTTCTTATTTCCTTCTCTAGATGATGCCTATTTACTACAGGGACTTAATATAGAGGAACTATATCCAGAGACCTCTAGTTTCATTACGTATGATGGGTCGATGACTATCCCACCCTGCTATGAGACGGCAAGTTGGATAATAATGAACAAACCTGTCTATATAACCAGGATGCAGGTGAGCTTTTCTGCGGTCTTTCAGCTAATGGGGAAGATGATGTCAAGACTGGCTGGGTTTATGGAGTGCCTATTGATTAGTTTGCTAGGACTGCTTTGACAAAATGTAACATAAACTCTGTGGCTTAAGTAGCAGAAATGTACTGCCTCACAGCTCTGGAGGCCATAAATCTAAGATCAAGGTGTCAGCAGGGTTGGCCCCTTCTGAGGGATGTAAGGAAGAATCTGTTTCCCACCCGTCCTTCTGGTGGTAGCCAGGAATCTTTGGTGTTCCTTTGCTCCTAGCAGCACTGCCCACTCTACCTCCATCTTTATGTGGCATTCTTCCCCTGCATCTTTGCCCAAATCCCTTTTTTTATAAGGACACCGTGTCACCCTGAATTAGGGCCCACCCTAAAGACCTCATCTTAACTAATTACACCTGCAATGACCCCATTTCCAAATCAGGTCACATTCTGAGGTACTAGGGGGTTAGGACTTCAATTTATGAATTCTGGGGGTCCACAATTCAAATCACCACACCTATGTTTGAAAAACCAGCATCTGAAAAGGCTTAGTATGAACAAATTGTAGAAGCATCCCACGTGTCTGAATGAGAAAAGACAGCAAGGTCAGTTCCCAAAGTGTTCGCTACAGTCATTATGTTCAAACAGCAAGTGAGCAAAATGGATGGTGTGTCCAAAAATGTTTGAAAAAGCTGGGTTTTAAAAAAAGTTAAATAGGGGCCCCTGGGTGGCTCAGGCGATTAAGCATCCGACTCTAGATCTCAGCCCAGATCTTGATCTCACGGTCGTGAGTTCAAGCCCCGTGTTGGGTTGGGCTCCATGCTGGGTGTGGAGCCTACATTTAAATAAATACATAGATAGATGATAGATAGATAGATAGATAGATAGATGATAGATAGATAGATAGATAGATAGATGATAGATAGATGATAGATAGATAGATAGATAGATAGATAGATAGATAGATAGATAGATCTCCTTACTGGGAAACTTGTCGAGGCCTTTCAATTGATAATACATGTGTCAGTCTCCAAGAAGAGGCATGGGATGTTGAGCATTTCACAAACTGTTGAAATGTGAAGTATTTTTAGAGCATCTCACAGGGCTAGTATGCCCTTGAACTACCTGAGAACCAGGTCTGAGCACTGGGTGTGAGCTTTGCCAATGGCTCACTGTGCACTCCCACAGCTGTCACCCCCACCATGTGAAATGAAAGTTCCTCCCCTTTATAACGAGGGGGGTAAGTCACGTCTGCTCCAGTTCTGGCATTCTAAGATCGTCTATAAAAACTCGAAAGGAAGATGAGCAAAGGAAGCAGAATCCAATCTCCTTGACAGGATATGTACTCACGTCCCAACAATCTGAAGCATTTGAAGTCTCCAGTCCTATCTGCGTTGATTGGGATTCTTTTGGTGCAAGCCACCCCCTCCAGATACCTCAATTAGAAAAAAAGGAGGTATTCAAGAGATATGGGGGCATCCTATGGGAGTTGAGATCAGAAATTGATGTCCGGAATTCACGGGAAGTCTGGCCTCTCTGTTCTCTTTCGCTTCTTATTGCACATTCTCTTTGTTCTCCTTTCCTGTTAAAAACTTCCTTTGCTTCGCAGTCCTGGGCTGGAACATGGCGGAAAGCCTTTAGTCCAGCCGCCCCGTCCTGGTAGTCACAGAAAAGCAACCAAATTGATCCAGCTTAATTTAGCTCTGACCCCTGGAACAATCACTACGGTGTGGATAACACCCATGGGGGGGGGAATAATTTCCTGAATTGTTGGAAATTCTGGAACCATGAGGTGTCAGAGGAAAAAGGGACCCTGGAGAACAACCAGATGGATTTCCTCCTTTGACAGATGGTGTGTTTGAGCTTAAGAGAGAGCAAAGGACTTGCTCAGAGACATGCGTGACCTGGTGAGGTAGTAGCCCGGCTCGCTCCGTGCACAGAGGCATCAGGAGGCCTGCAACACACCGGAATCCATGAAACAGGGGTCTCTGCAGCGCTCACGTGTGCCCTGTCCCAGACAGCCAGGACCACCTGGCTTGGGCACGGTCTACGCGGTCTGACATGCTCCCTAGCACAGTTAGGAGAGTAGGTGGGACTCAGCTGTGTCTCTCCCTGCAGATGCATTCCTTACGCCTGCTCAGCCAGAATCAGCCGTCTCAGATCTTTCTGAGCATGAGTGACAACTTCAGGCCTGTGCAGCCGCTCAGCAATCGCTGCATCCGCACCAACATCAACTTCAGTTTACAGGGGAAGGACTGTCCGAACAACCGAGCCCAGAAGCTTCAGTATAGAGGTGGGTGTGCTGGCTTGGAGGGCAGCGGGCCCCCACCGGGGCTCAGTCGTCTTATTAGAATCGGGATCACAAATCACAGTGAGACCACCCCCTTCCATTTGTATGGTGCTTTCCCATTGATAAAACCTCTGTAGCATTCGAGATAGACAGAGATAGGGATAGACATACAGAGATAGAGATGGGGAAGGGGGTGTCAAATGTTCAAATCCCTTCCGGTTCAAGCAAGACAGCATTGAAAAAATAAAAGGAAGGAAGAGAGGGAAGGAGGAAGGGAGGGAGGAAGAGAGGAAGGAAGGAAGAAAAGGAAGGAAGGAAGGAAGG